TTGGCGGGCGGGGGTCCCGGGGCGTCCCGGTCACGGAGCAGTGGCGGCCCCGCTCCGTGTCAGGTCCTTCCGGGACGCTTGCCACCTGCCGAGTTTGCGGACGGGAAGCGGCCGGAGTCGGTCCCCGCTCCTGCGCGGTGGACCCAGGGTCGCTGAGGGTTCTCTCCCCTTTGGCATGGTATTTATTTTCGCGGTCGCGTCTGGCTGCGTGAACAAGGACGGAAGACCGTCGTGTTTGAAGCGATTTTAACTTTACCCAAGCGCACGGGTCAGACGCCGACCTGATTCGCTTTCGCAGCCAGAAAGTTGTCACTCAGCGTGAACCAGTCAAGGTCTTGGGGGTGACCTGCAGACCATTTACAGAGAAAGTTGCCTGGTGGTAACGACGGGGCAGTTTTTAATGGTTCCGATGCCCTGAGAAAGGGGATTAAATTCTCTCAAATCAAATTCGGAATTCGTCCTTTTAATGTAAAGTACCATAAACTTTTTAAGAGGTCTTTTTTTGTGATAGCATACAATATCATGTTAGTTTTGGGGGTACAACGCAATGATTCTACATTTGTATACCTTAAAAAGTGACCACCACACGAAAATGCCATAAACTTTTAAGGTTAGTTATGTAATAATTATGTTTCCACTTTTAGGACACTTGCCGAGTTACTCATAGTCCAGGACTTCAGGGGAAAATGTTCTCTTTCTGCAAAATATGCACATTTAGCTTTCCCAAACAGGTTGTCTTTTAACTCTCTTTCTCTCCATACTGTTTAATGTTGGTGGATTTAAACATTAACATTAAAAAAGATGGTAGCTCTAGGAATGCAGTGGATGCTCTCCTTTAATGGTCTGTTGCATAAATGTGAAAAATAAAAGTATTTAAAGGAGGCAGGGATCACAAAGGTACAGGAAGAAAAGTTGGGATTTGGTGGACTATTATCTTGATTGTGGTGATAATTTTCTATGTGTATATATAGATCAAAACTGATCACACTTTATACTTCACATTCAGTTTATTGTATGTTGATTATGCCTCAATAAAGCTGAAAAATTACTCAAAAATATGTTTTATACCACAGAGGAACACATAGCACAATACAGCATAAAGAGATAAAACATAATAGACTCCATGACTCCACCCACAAACCAAGAACTGGGACCAAAACTCGCATCTGCTTATGTGTTTCTTGTCAGTTCTGCACCTCTGCCTCTCCTTACCCAGGTCATCTTTCCGGTCTAGTAAATTTTCTGGTTTTCATTCCCTTGTGTTTTTAAAACATAGTTTCATCATGTGCATTTGTAAGTTTTTAGTTTGCTTTTCTTTTGAGCTTTATGAAAATAGTTCTGTTAATCTTCCGTGACTCATGGGCATTTAGATTGTTTTTGATTTTGTTTTGCCATCCACAACTGTGCTCTGAACATTTCTCATTTCCTGGCTCCTGGTGCACCAGTGCGAGAGCTTCTCTAAGTAAAGAATGTAGTTGCATTGGAAGTTTTAGTCAGGACTAAAGTAGATTGAAATACTAGAGATAAAATGAATGAAAAACTTTACGATACTCTTACGTTTTAATGGAAGATTCATAGCCGTAATGATTGGTTCATAGTTTTTGAACATTAGCATGAGAAAACAAGATTCCTGTTAATCTGTATGCGATGAATCTTCTCCCTTGAAATCATATTGTAAGAAGTCTGGCACTATTTGTGATCACCCTGTAAAAGTAAATACAGTAGAAAAAACACTCGATCGTATGTGACATAAATCATTCTGTGTGTCCCCTCTCCCCTCCGGTGTAATCTCTAACAAATTACAGGCATACCTCAGAGATGTTGCAGTCCAGTTCCAGACCACCGTAATAAAGCAAGTATCAGTGTAAAGCGAGTCACAGTCCTTTTGCTGGTGAAGGGTCTTGCCTTCAATTTATAAAAAAAAAAAAAAATGCAACATCTGCGAAGCGCAATAAAACGAGGTATGCCTGTACTTAATTTCTCTCGTGCCTCAGCGCACTCTTGTAAATGGATCCTATCCCTAGTTTATCCTTCCAGTTTCGCCGACCTTAGTTAGGAGAAGCGCCTGTCAAACGGCAAGGACCTTAAGGAAAAGGATCAGGTGTGTCTTTTGAAACAATTTGGAGAAAGATGTGTGGTGGGTGAGCGGGCATTTATCAGCATATGTTAACCACAAATTTAAGTACTTTTTACTTCCATGGCATTACATTTGGGAGTGCCCCAAGGCGTGCTTCTAAAACAGTGTTTATCACGCTAGTAGCAATGCTGTGACAAATTAGGAACAGCATTAATTTCCTGAAAATGGAGTGTGCGTGTATAAGTAATATGAGTTTATGGATAGCTTTGAATAACCCTTTTTATTTAAAGCCATGGGAGTAGAGATGGTTTGAATTTATTTTTAACAGTAAATGTAGCTCGCAGACAAATAATCAGGATGCTTTGTTTTGGAAGGGCTGTTTTATCCTGCTTTTAAAAATCTCCTTTTTCGATTTGATTATAAAGGCAATGTGTTTGGGGTTGTTTTGGTTAACAATAATGATTGTTAATATTTTGGCAGGTATCCCCCACTCTGTGTGTGCGTGTGTGTGTGTGTGTGTGTGTGTGTGTGTATTCTTCATATCCTAAACAATTAAAAGATGAATTCCAAACACTGTTAGGCTGCCTCTACCTTCAAAGCTTATCCCAGATATGACCTTCTTGACACCTGCGTTGTAGGTAAGATGGTACTGGTCATCTAAGCGGTACCCTTGCTTCGGCGTTTGATCCCCTTCAGTCCATTTGCTGCTCCCGTGGCGAACATTTAAATGTGTAACTTGGATGATCTGACTCCCAGGCTCAGAACCCTCCAGTGACTTCTCGATAGACAAATTCAAACTTTTTACGGTAGTGCTTGGACCCTAGACCTGCAGCGTCCAGTGGGAACCTAATGGGAGCCACGTAGGTAATTTAAAATTTTCCGATAGTCACATTTAAAAAAAGGAGAGAGAAACGGGTGACATATATTTTATTTAACCCAAAATATGATTTCAGCAAGTATTCAGTATAAGAAATTTTTTAACGGGCTATTATACTCCATTGAGACTAATCTGATATGTATCTCCCACTTAAAGCACGTCTTGGGCTGGCTTGTTTCACGTGTCACGTGACCTGCGGTACCAGTGGGCGGTGCTGCTCTAGATTCCCCTCCCGCCACGCATCCCCTGACTCGCCAGCCTGCACTCCAGCCTGCCGGGCTCGATCTCTTAAAAGTGTTCCTTCTGCCTGGAGTAATCATATTTCTGCCCCGATGTCGCTCCTTCAGCAGTGCCCACCTCCCCTGACGACCGTTTTACCCTGCTTCGTTTCTTCATAGAGCCTGTCACTGGAAAGAATTTATCTGGTTACTCTCTCTATCCCTGCTGAATGTAAGCTGCGTGAGGGCAAGGGTCTCCTCATGTTTACCACTGAATTAGGTATGTTAAGAACATGATTTTTAAAGGGTCTATACTATTGCATCTTATGAAATACTGTAGTGACCAGTCACCTATTATAACTTGTGTCACTTCATTCTTTTTTCACTAATGTGGTATGAAGATCATTTTAAGAGCTTAACCTTTGTATGTGTTTCTCATTTCTTTAGGATTCAATCTGTCTTAAATTGCTGAGTTAAAGCACATTCACTTTTGTTGTCTTTTTATAGACAAAGCTTGACTTAAAAGTTTGGCTAACACAGTATAAAGTTCCCCAAGCCATTATAAAGTTTGGCTAAAAATACGAGAGAATACACATTTCCTCCCATCTTTACCCATCTTTACCAACACTGAGGATTTTCTTTCCTGCCATCCTTCCCGCTTCATGAGATTTATTCTGTATTTGTTAATTATGATGATGTGTGGAGATGTGGGTGTTGAGAGTGTTCTAGACTGTCTTTGCTCATTTCAGGTGGTGTTTTACAATCGTGATACCGTTTTTAGCCTTTTGTGTAGTCAGCGTAGCAGCTCTTTGCCACACACTGCGTTTTTCCTTCTCTGTCTCTTCATCTGCCTTTTATTTGCTGACAGTATTTATTTTTTTAAACATGAAAGAGTTTTTACCTTGTAAGAAATTCAGGTGAGTACTCTTTTTATGATTTGTACTTTCATATTTAATGGATTCTCCTACCCAGATAACTTTTTTCTTCTAGTTTCATTTTTCACATCTATCTTTCTGCTCATCTGGGATTTATTTTGATGTAACATGCAAAGTGAAATAACTTTATTTTTCCTTAATAGTTAATCAGTTATTTCAGCGCCATTAAAAAAGAATCTTCTTGTCACCTTGAAATAAAGCTGCCTTATTATATACTAAACGCATATGTGCTTGGTTCTCCTTAGCTTTTACTCAGTACCAAGGATTTCACACCAATGCACTTTGTTTTAGCGATGGGGAGTGATAATGTGCTTTTTTGTTTTGTTATTCTAACTCTCTCCCTCGCCTATTTTGCTCATAAATTTTTGGCATTTGCTTTGTTTGTCCTCAAGTTTTAAGTTAATTCCTTAGGGTCTTCAGGTTGTTTTGGTTTTGAATTTTTAAATAAAAAAATCGATTGTGATATTTCTCCATTTACTATTTTATGTTGTATAATGAAAAAAATGCCACTAAATATTTCTTTGAGTGTAGTTTTAGCTGTGTTCCTTGAATTTTGACACGTGATATTTTGGTTTTAAGTATTTAAAATCCGTGCAGTGCAGTTCGCGTTCTTCCAGTCCCTGCTCCATGCTGGAGGACATCGTTCTAAGTGCAGAGGACATAGCGATGACCGAAGCCCAGGTCCTTGCCTTTGTGGAGCTTCACAGTACGTTGGGAAAGCTTGGCTGTTTACAAACCAACAAATAAAGAATTTTCAGATTTCGACAAGTGCTAGGAAGGGAAGAAATTCGGTGTGCCGATAGAGATTAGATGTACTAACTGGGTATTCAGCAGATGCCTCTGAGGATGTAATCTTTAAGCTTAGTAGTGGTACTAAGTGTGTTCGAGCGTTTCTTTAGCTTCCCCAATCTGTCAGACATTTCTAAAAAATGTTTTTCGGTAAAAATTGCCTTGCAGAGAGTTTCTGTCTCTCCTCTCCCCCATCTTCCAGCTGATTTCCTGCTTCAGAGCATGTCCTGTGTAGAAAACTTGGAACTGAGATTCTGAGTTCTTAGAGACAGAGCTGGTGGAATTGGCCCTAGTGAAGGGAGTAGCTAACACGAAGGGGATGGGAAGGGCTCGTCTTGATTTAGGGTTTGACAGATGAGAATGACCGGGTTTACTGAGTGTCAGCGGGCGGGACAAGCTTTATTGCAACACTGGCTTGAGAGACTTTTATTATTTCTAAGTGGTCGGGCTGCTTCCACTTCCCCACCTTCCGATCCTGTCTAGATCCTATGGTCCAAATCGATCTACAAATAACTTAGATGATTTTGCCCCCTGGTGCTTCGTTATTTCTACTGTATTTTCAGTTTTCCCCCACTCGAGACCTTTCCATATGCTGTCCCCTTTGGCTGAATTGTGATTTCTTTGAAGAATCTCTCTCCTTGATGCTGGCACAAGAGGTGAAGTCCTTCTCTTGGCTATGTGTTCTCATTTCACGTGGGACATTTCTTTTGTCAACACTTGTAACAACCTGCAAGTCATTGTGTGTGTGTGATGTTTTAGTGCCTGTTTCTTCCTCTAGAGCTGTACTTCCCAATCTGGTCGGTACCAGCCACTTGTGGCTATTTAAATTGGTTGAAATTAAATAATACTAAAAAGTCACTTCTACAGTCTCATTTGTCACATTTCAGGTCCTCGGTAGCCACGTGTGGCTAGTCACTATTCGACTGGACAGCAGAGACATAGATAGAGTATCTTGATGGAAATTTGTCTTATTTATAAATAATTAGGTGGTTAATATCCACAGTATTTTATTTAAATTTAAGTAGCCACATCTGGTTATTGAAATACGACAAGTCTGAATTGAGATATGAGGCATTGATTACATATTGAAGTCATGCTATTTTACACGTTTTGTGTTAAATAAAATATATTATTACAATTTAACTGTCTATTTTACTGTTTTAACATGGCTCCTAAAAAGTCGAACATCGCCTGTGGCTGCCGCGATGTTTCTGTTGGACAGCACTGTTCTAATTCCAGACCATAAGTTTCTACAGTTGGAAGGGGCAGTTCAGCATGGCGTCCGCAGTAGCTAGGGGTGCCCAGCGTCTAGTAGGTGTTCAAAAGGTTTGACGAATGAATAAGCTTTTCTGTTAACTTTGAATGTTATTGTTTAATCATCAGAGAATGTCATCTGTTTGGCTTTTGCTTTTTAAAATTGTTAGTCTGATTATAATTTAAAAAAATCGTTCTATGACTGTTGAGAAACTTTTTTTTTTTTGATGGCGCTATTGAAGATTGACCTCATTAAACGATGTGGATCATTCATCTTTTTTATCTTATATTTTTTCTGGCTTAAGCTAAGGAAAGAGGGAACTTAAAGTCTGCCGGTCTGTTTCCTGTCGTTTTTCTATGTCTAGCAGTTTACTCCGTTATGTTATTTGCCTGTGGAAATTTATGACTGTCAGATCGTAATAGCTGAGGATTCTGAATGCTTATTCTTGTACATATACTTCGGTCCTGATACTGTGATCCCTGTTCCTTTTTAATTTACATTTGTCGTTAACCCTTTACGCTTAAAGTGTTTACTCTCCTATTGAAAGACTGTTCATCATTCAGCTAGGTTTTTGCTTTCATCATGTTTGCTTTGTGTTTAGTATTTTGAATGGGCCGTTACAATCCTCCCCGTTCCCCTCATACTCACCTTGTGTTATTTTTTCCTTCGTGAGTTAGAGGATACACATCAGGAATTGCTAACTCAACTACACACCTCACTTTTGTAGGCAATGTATATTTGTCAGGGAAATATTTTTTAAAATGGTCTTCTTCCCTGGATGCTGGTTTTCACACTATCCTTAGTCACGTTTTGCTGGTGTCGGTGGCAGGCCCTTGGTCGGTGGCTGCACAAACCACCCGTCATGCCCAGGGGTGGATGCCTGGGGTTAGCTTCTGATGTGCGAAGACTAGTCGGAGCTATTTTCAGTCCTTTCAAAGTCTAAGGACGTTTCGCCCTGCTCCTGCGCACCAAAAGTCCTTCCTCAGTCTAGGTATTGATTCTCTTTGTAATCAGAGGTGAGTTGAGACCAAGTCGTTCAACGGCTTGTTCTCTCCTAAAGTGTTTTCAGCTGATAGGTTTGGAAACCTCCGAGCTCCCACGAAGAATGTACAATCCGTCCTTCGAATACTTGATGTCCAGTAAATGCTGTCGTCACATTCAGTCAGGCAGCCTCGGAGCTTTGCAGGCTCGGTGTTCCTACGAAGTAATATTGTTGTCAGATAATCTCAGTCACGGCATTACTTCCTTTTTATTTATTTTTGCTGTTTTTTTCTGCTGCTGATTTAGAAGTAGAATAAAATACCCTTAGTTTTAACCTGCCAGCCACCTTAAATGACATTTGTCACCTTGAAGTTCTTTGAGGTAGGTCCTGGAGGTCTTTGCGCTATCTGGAATAGCTAAGTCCTTATCTGTTTTCTTTAGACTGTAAATTGAGAGTGCTCTTGGTGTTACATTAGTGTTTATAGTATGGGTCTGTTTTATACAGATAATTAACTTTGAAGTGAAAAATTGTGTCAGAGCAAAGATTGATTTGGTTCTCATAGCTATCTCCTAATATCGTGCATGCCAGATTTTAAGATTTACATGTTTGCCATCTCTTTTTCTATAACCTTATAAAATTTCGGCCTCTTTTCTCAAGTTTAATTCTGTAGCTCAGATTATGTGTTTCTTCTGTTGTCTGCTCTGGTACCTCTTCTGCTCCCAGTGTTCATTTACAAGAGTGTCCACACAGTGGGAAGAAAACCTGAACTTGACTCGTGAAGTGCTGGGCATTCAAAGCAGTGAGTCCTTGCAAAGGATCTTGGGACTAGACCTCTGTGAATTGGCTCTTTGAATTTGTCCACTTAAAAGGCATAATAGATTATGCAGCTGTTTGGGCTTCTGCAGGGTATTGCTCCTTATTCATGTCCAGTTGCAATTATGTGAATTTTCACTTTCTTACAAAGACTTCTCTTTGTATTCAAAACAAGCTTGTTGGCCTTGTGTTCTAATATATAAATTTTATTTGAGAAAAAAAAAGCAAGATTTTGAACTTTGAAAACTAAATTTAAATTAAAAATCCCTTATATAAACTTATTGAAAGATATTTTAAGAAGTCACTCTAATTTGCTTTAATTTCGAATTTGTTTTTGTAAATCAGTCAAGATTTTTGGTGGAGGTGAAAATTATACTTTACCGAACAAGTTAAATGTTAGTCAGGTAATGATTAATGTTAGAATAGTATTTGTTGGGCCAAGCTACTAAAAAGATGAGCAGTTCTAATTAAACATATAGTAAAATATAATAATAGCAGACTTAGTAATGTATAAAGTGACAGTAGGTCTTTTTTTTGTTTACAAGTCAGAGTGCCAGAATACTGTCTCTTTAGAAACTCTGTAGTAAAAATAACATTTAATGGAACTTAGTATTTTAAGAGGAGTATACCACCTTCAGCTGCATCTTCGGGTGCCCATACCACCTTCAAGTAATAAGGAGGGGACAAAATAGGGTCCACTCTTCTTTTAAAGAATAATTAAAAAGAATTATCCTAAACTTCATACCTTGGCGAAACACACATCAGAACTCTTAATGTGGTCATAGAGAAATAATATTTCTGTCTCATTTTTTTCTCCAGTTTTAAGTAGAAATGATCAATCTTTGATGTCACTGAAATTTTTACTGTGGTGATAACTGAGAACATAAGTATCAGTGAATTTGATAGGTAGCTTAGAAATCATTGTTTTCCATCTAGTATTGCAGTGCTATGTTTTTTCAGTTAAGTTATGGTCTTCTCTCTAAGTCTCTTGGCAATGGATTTTCTGTTGCCGTTTTAAATTTTTCAAATAAAATGTGAACTCTGTTGAAAAAGAAGTCTGTCTTCATGAAGCATAACTTAACCTTCATGGCTCCTAAAATATCAAATGATTTGGGTTAAAAGCTTTGTATTTTAAACAGCTGGTCACTGAACTGCAAATGAAAGCTGCTTCTGTGAGGTTTTCACTGCTGTTACTTAATTTATTTTTTACCTAGACAAAAGAGTAAGCAAATAGTATACGATGGGAAAACTGAAACGTTACCTACTGTTTCTTTAAGAAACCAGCTTATCCAGAGGGTTTTAGTGTGTTTGACCTAACCTGCTAGCAAGGAAAAGTTCTTTAAAATAATGGATATTAGCCGCGTCCAATCACAAAGGTCAGTTTCACTAACAGGGAGGAGATTTTACTCTTCAGCCACTAGAATTGGAGAAGGTGGAGCTTGATATTCAGGTTTGGTTGCTTTGGAGTACAGCTTCAAGTGAAGTTAATCTGAGGTGAAGCAAACAGAAAATTGTGGAGGTTTTGTTGGTAGGATTTTTGTTCTAATCTTTTAATGATCCTTTATTTTACACTTTTGCTCCTTTATGCTTCTGTGTACGCTAGGTTTTGTCATTGTTGCTGTTTTCCGATGCAAACTAAACATTAAAATTAAGCAGGGAAGCAGAACAAAAGGGCTGTTTGGACAGGAAATAGGTGTTCAGAGAATCAAACTTGACTTTCTTTTATCATTATTTTTAGTTCAGAATTTGGGTGTCATTAAAAAAACGTTTGAATCAAAATCATCTCCGGTAACAGGCTTTTCTCTTGGGCTGGATGTTTGAGCAGTCATTTGTCAGTTTTTATAAATGACATCTGGAGGAGGTCTAGTTGATGTGTCATTTTCCTTAAACTTAAGATGTTGTTAAGTTGCTTCAAGAAAGATAAATGTGGTAGGGTAAATGTATGTGTTTTTTTTTTTAAGAACTGAAATGCCAGGTGTTTAATTTTCTTATTCACCCCCAGCACACCCCCTTTTTTTAACTTTATTTTAAATTTAGCAATAGGTTGACATTTTCAGTATGCTCATAATTTTAGCTTTCCTTTTAAAAAGATCATTGATTCATTTTATTTTAAGGTTTTAAAATGTAGCTGATGTACAATATTGTATTAGTTTCAGGTGTGCATCTTAGTTATTTGATATTGGTTCATTTTATGTAGAACGAGGTAAAATTGCTTTCTCCTTCATTCAAACTTCATTTATTTCAAAGATGTAGATAAGTAACACCTTTTTGAAACAGGAAGTGAATGAACTTGTATTTCTAATAGCTATTGGTAAGCTACCAAAACTTTTTTAGAAAAGTATCTGTGAATCTGTTGACATTTCTTACTTATGCGATAATGCCGTTTTGGTTCAGTGCCAGAAGTTTTCTTTAGAGACTTTTTTCTTTATAGTGTTGCTCTTCAACCTCATAGAAATTAAGGCATAAAAGTTCATCTGAATAATTGGCCCAAATGCCAGCTGGGCATTTCAGCCAGTGTAATACTTGTATTTGCTATGCTGCTGCTTCCAGAACGTGCTCTATCTATTGCTTAAATAATACAATAATAATAGTAAAATAAAGAAAAGTCACTCGGGTACCCACCAGATCATTATGTGGTGGTCTTATTTTTCCCCCCCGTTCTCTACCTTACTAATATTCTTGTATTTTTCCCAAAATTGTAATTAAGTGCAGATTACTTTTTACTCCATTGTATCATCTGTTGTTCAAATTCTCTTAATTTCTGTTGTTTTACAATTCTCTTAGATTAGAGGGACCTTACTTTACCTAGTCTTTTGCCTGTTTTATATTTAGAGTGTTCTTAATTTTTCATCATTTTAAATGGTATTGCATTGAACAGACTTCCGTGTGTAAATTTTAAAATATTTTCCTTTTTACTTTTTTTTTTTTAAAAAAAAATGTATTTCCTTTGGAAAAATCCCCTGGTGTGGGCTTCCCTAGATCAAAGGGTATGAACACTTCAGTGGCCAAATTGCTTTTCAAAAAGGTTATACCAGTTTATATTGCCACCAGCAGGATGTGCTTCAAAATTTCTTTAATAGGTAGCCATTAAATGTTAAACTGTGCCTCTGAAGCTCTGTGACTTGTTGATTAGTTTTGCCTAAACTAATAGCCTGTTTTAAATTTCATTTCCCAATATGCAGATGGATCTACTTCCATTTTCTGGACATTAAAATCAGCTAAAGGAAATTGGGAAAATCTTTACCCACCGAAGTGAGCAATTATGTCTTTGTTGGGTATTTTTTTTACTTATTACATAGATTGCCGTCTGTAAATATAAGGCTTAATATTTTACACTGGCATTGTTGTTGAGGCCAGCTTTTCTGAGTACATGCTGCTTCTGGTAAGCACATACCAGAGGAAATATTTTCTGCCAAGAAGATGTTCTTCCAGGAAAATGTGTCAGAAACATTTTTAGAGAGAGGCTGGAACCATGCCAGTTAACCTTACTTTACCTGTCTCTGAACAGGTGTAACTAGCCTTTGTCACTGTTTGGATTTTTTAAATACAATGTAGAAGCAGAATTAGTATGTATGGATCGAGGATTTAAAACGGCACATGAGTATCTTTCTCGTATGTCGTAGGTTTTCAGTTAAAGGCGAGAAGACGACCGTATGCACAGGGTGACCAGACGTGGCATTCGTGTGAAGAACGTTGTTTGTGTGGCAGTACCTGCTGTTACGTGTGCTCTCAGCAGCTCAGTCTGTTCAATAGGCTGTCGCTGTTCAGGTTATGAACTTGTTAACTACTGTTCCGGAATAAACTTAAAAAGTTGTTTTAAAGCAAATTTCAAGACAATTAAAATATTAATATAATTTTTAAATGGGGGGCAGTGACAAGTCATGGGTTAAGCTCTAACTCATTGATGCAGCCAGTGGTTGAGCGCGAATAATCTTAAATTCGTCTAGCTCATTTTGCAATTTAAATACTTTCTGAAAATTCTTACTTCAATTTACTGATAACTTAGTGTATCTAACTTTCAGAGCTAATATTGGTACGTTGGTTATTGTGGTTGTTTCAGGGGAAAGTTTTTTGTTTGTTGGTTTATTTGTTTAAATGTCTGTTTTGTTTGTCACGGCCGAAGAGTTCACTTTCCAGGCACTTTGTTTTTCTTATTTGGAATAAAAGGGAAGATCTTAAAACCCATCACTTTTAATAAGTGAAAAAGTTCTTATGAAATACATCGGTGCATTTAAATTTGCTGGATGTGTCAATATATATGCAGATAAGTACTTTATTCATGAATAGGATGGTTGAGATTCACTCGAATATTTAAAATTTGTGTCGGTGCTTACATATTTCCTTTGTTATGAATTTCAGGAGTGTATTTAATTTTCTTCTTAACAGATTAATCTTACCGCTACCAAGTAGGGATGAAGGTAGTTGTAAACGATTGTAGTGAAAGTCATTTCAAGTTTGACTGTAGATTACATTTTAATGGGTACTCAAGGTGAAGGTTCACCTGCTCTGCTAGTAGCCCGGGAACACTAGAACTTTGAGAAACGATCGTGTTTGCTGTTTTCTCTGATGTATCTCATCTCTCCTGGTCTCCGGTTGACAGAACTGGGGTGTGTCTAGCCCTCCCTTGGAGTTTATTGGTTTCATTTGGAGGGTAGAAACCAGTTTTCCAGGGGGAGACGAAAACTCTTTAAATGCTGTAATATTGAGGCAAAAATGAGAATAGTGATAGCTCTATTTTATTCTTTCAGAATGGAGGAAAAAAGTGATCTAGAGAGGATGTTAAATGCAGTCAGAGTCTCTATTGTTAGCCTCCATTCGATGAGAATGCAATGATTTGTTTTGAATAACAATCAACATTTTTAACGGACAATACGAAGTGAGTAAACCTTGAAAGAACCTAGAACCAACCGGTGGCTCAATATTTATTAGATCTCTTTGTTCTGTGCAATAGGGGACCTTGACAGTTTCGCAGTGTATTTTCTATATGGTTTCTTTATAAAAGTAGGTAAATGTTTTAGGAGGTTTTTTTTTTGTTGCTAGCAAAGGTTAGCACTGTTGACTGCTTTTTCCTTCCTGAAACTCTTGCCATGAGTTTAATGCTATTCCTCCTGTCTGTGATCTCTGTGCTTTGCAAATGCTTCCTCTTCACAGCCATTACCTGTTGGAACGTCAGGATTCTGACCTTAACGCTCCTCTCACTGTCCTTCTTGGGTAATCTCCAGTCCCTTATCTTCAGTTCACATCCTATGTCTGTTAATGGTTCAAGATCTATATGTTTTGTTTGCACTGAGACTCGTATTTATCCAGCTTATAAATGTTTCTTCCATCCATGCGTAGAGCTCAGCGAGGCTGAACTTCACTGCTTGTTCCGTCCTCCCGGCCGCATCTCTTAAACCCAGCTTCCCCCCCGTCGCAGTGGGTGGTACTGCCATCCAGGCTGGAACTGGGGTGTCATTCCGATCTTCCTTCTCCTTCAGCCTCCCGCCATTAGTCACAACTTTCTCTCAGTTTTCAATCCACAGTGTCTTTCTTTCTTCGGCCTCCTCAGTGACCTTCACTTCCAGATTTGGCTTTCGACAACGTCCTGCACGCAGTCAAGTCTGTCTTTCCCTGTTTACAGTTCTTTCCTGATTCCTTGTTGTCCTTTGAACTTTCTTAACGACCTAGTGTGAATAATCATACCAGCTGATTCTGTGCTAACCATTCTGTGAAGTAGTCTCCAAACAGCTTTCAAAGAGGGAAGTATTGTTGCCTTCATTTAGCAATCAGACAGTTTGGAATGGCTGACTAATTGGGCCAAGGTTGCCTCAGCTGGCACGTGGGTCCATCCACCCTTTGCACTGACAGCGACGGGACCAAAGTCCTTTCTGGTCTTCGGCAGCGAGCCCTGTGCCCCCCCCAGGCGGCCCCCGCTCGCTTCTCCAGCCCTGTCGCTCCGCACTGCTACGTTTCATACAGTTCCTCCTTCTGGGGCACGCTCACAACTTGTTGCCAAAGTCTAAAAGTGCTTCAAAGAAAACATTTTCTAAAAGCATTTCTGACCATTTTTAGGAACCTTTCGAAAAAGGTAGACGTTTTGGCATCCCCAGAATATGAAAAGGTAAAAGAATGAGACGTAGGAAAAATAAAGATCGTTTTCCATATGTGGTGAGTCTTGAATTTCAAAGCTGTTGAATTCTTCACATTTAATGGAAGCTTGAGACCGAGGTGTGTAGAAGGAAGACAGGGCAGAGTTGAAAGCGCTGTATCTAAGCTGTCTGAAATGCTACTGGCCTCCTTAAATAGCAGGTAGCCGAGACCTTGTGTTCATTTTTGCATCCAGGTGTATGAAGCATCTGCCTTTGAACACAGGTCAGATGAGGTGGTGAGTAACTTACAGGGGCGAAATTGGCTACGTGTTTTCTTTTGCATCAGATAGTCTATCAAAAAAGCGAAATAGTGCAACTAATCTCACCTCGGAAGAAAATTGACGTCAACTTAGAAATAGTTGGTTTGGAATCACTTTTCATTGGATACTACATGTCTTTA